TAAAGTAAGTAGTGTGTGTGTGTGTGTATATATATATATATATATATATATATATCTTAAGTTAATAAGAATAAAGGAAATTATAATGGTAAGCATGTAACTAACATTAATTAAATAAGAAACAACTTTTATTATTTGTTGTGATGTAGTTAAAATTAATATAGTAGTTTTATTTATGAATCTGAATTGTGTTAAGAGTCTGTTATAAATTTGAGTCATTCAAATATATTTAGACCCATTAAGAGGCCTATAAGAACATAAAACAAATGAACTTAATGAATTGAATCTAAATTATTATTTTCAATCATTAAAAACAAAATACTTAATGAGGCAAATCTGATTAAGATTCAGACCCCCATTTAAGTGCAAAAAGGCCTAAATGTTATTAGATTAAATTAGTTTGTCTTCATGGCTATTGCCAATATTAGTTTGATATGATTGTATAAATGTAAGTTGCAACTATTGGGCCCGTGCTAAGCACGGGTCAAAAACTATCTAGTATATATATATAAAGGTGAAGTGGGAGGACGACCAAGGGCAAAAATGTAATTTCACGCTAATAAAATTCTACCAAGAATGATAACAAAAAAATTAAATAGTTCTAGAAACATCTTAAGTTATTATTATTATCATTAATTTATTTTGTTATTACTTCACTTTCTTTTTCCTTTCTTTTGTGAGTTATTGTGATATTCATTATCCTTATAAAAAAAGCCTACTTTTTATATAAAAATATCATGAATTAATTATTTCAATCTTTATTTTGTCTCTAATTAATATACTCGAAAATAAATCAGTGTGATAAAATTAATAATATATATTAGATTGAAATTAATGAAAAAAATGTTAAAAATTAACTTTGTAAATAAAAATGAATAGGATGATATATTTGTATTATAGATGACCAAGAATAAAAATGTAATTTCATTTTAACAAAAATCTATCAAGAATAAATAATTCTAGAAACATCTTTCTATATATAAAGTGAATGATGATCAAAGGTAAAAATGTAACTTTATGCAAGCAAAAGTCTACTAAGATTGATAACAAGAAATTTAAATAGTTCTAGAAACATCTTTAGTTGTTATTATTAGTATTACCTCATTTTTGTTATTTCTTCATTTTTTTATGAGTTATTGGTGATATCTATTTATTATATGAAAGTAAAATAAATAATGATTACACTTAGCTCTTAATAATTATATATCAAGTATAATATTAGGTGGAACCAATCAAAATTAAAATTAAAATTAATATGTATATTAAATTTTGTGTATTGAAATATTTTTTGATTTTGTGATCTTAAATATGCTATATAAAAAATTAAAATTCAGAAGTTATTTTCTTTTTGAAACGAAATAAAAATAAGTTTATATAAATCGAAAAAGAGGGAGTCATATATTAAAAAGTTTATATATATTCGAAAATAACATAAAAGGTACATAAATTAACAATTTAAAATATTTTTTTTAGAAAATACATAAAAGTTTTAGTTCACTTTTTCAAATTTCATTTATCACATAAATTTAAAGGAAAAAAAACTAACATATGTTAGACCTGCGCTGGTGCGGGCACATGATATCTAGTATATATGTATGTATGTATGTATGTATGTATGTATATATATATATATATATATATATATATATATATATATATATATATATATATATATATATATATATAT